AATAGACTTTTCTGGGGAAAAGTGCTTGGTTGAATTCACCAGTTGAACTACATTACCGTGCTGGTGCTGAAGCACCATGTTTCCCTTAGCTTCTCTACCCAACACCAGTTGAAATATCTGAAGAGTATCACAAACGAGAGATTTAGTTATACCCGTGAAAACCAAATGATATACAACTGAGTGTATTGGTCGAACTATGTCCAATTTGGGTTCAAACATAAGATTGGCGGAAACTCGGGGACTGCACCTACATCATGAACCTAGTGAAGGAAGAAGCTGGTCGTGGGCTGTCGGAGAATTTTCAGCAACCCTATGAGTAGTTTTCCGCATGAAGCATTTATCCTTCATCCACCTGATAAGGCATGGGACTTTGATGAGGTCGGCCATCAGTAAATTAACACATCCGTCGGTCAACAGCAGGATAAACGACAGTATCTGGTGCACTCTAGTTAGCTAACGGCTTTACCGGTGAGTCAGTGAGTCGTTCAGTAAAACACCCGATGCCTAGCTGCCATGCTACCCGAAGGAAGCACGAGGGCTGGGCTACTGTCAGGTTGCCCAAGCCTAGACAGGGGAAGTCGAGATACAGAGGCCGAACCACAGACCTTCCGGTCAGCGAATTCATGCTGTAACCAATTGAGCCATCTCGCCCCTAGCCTTACCGGTTCTGCTGTATTGTCCATTATTAATCTTCCGGGCTTGTCTAATTTCGATCATTCAGCGAAATTATTGCATCCGTTTTAGTTGGATCAGTATTACCCGAAATTGCACACCCCTACGGCCAAGTTGAGAAAACACTGGACACTGCCATCGTACAAGAAGATTCAAAAAAAGTCCCTGAGTCTCCTGTGTCCAAGTGCTGGATAAATCATGGCTGTACGCCTTCGGCTCCGAGACAGGACCGCAAACAAACAGCAGTTGGGACCAGACTACCAAGTTACTGTCATTCCAAGTGTTACAGACCAGTTGCAATGGTAAATTTATGTTTGGCGCATTGTCTATCAACAAAGCCCATCATTTTGTCAAAGTGGACGTCACCCAAGTGTGCACAATCACAGGTTTATGCGATTGATGTGTGGAGGCTGGTACAGCGAAAATTTTGGAAATTTGGCTGTTGGTCTATTCTCTGGACATGTCTGTCTCCGCGTGTGGTGACGAGACATTTGCAAGCCAGTTGCCAAGCTCGGTGAACAGACCACCTGTCCAGCAGCCAGTGTACTCACCCGGGCTAGCAACACTTGGACGCAATGTGTGATAATATTTGAACACTGGGGGGGGGTCAGAATTAGCAATGTATGCAATAGGAGAAACGTTCAGTCGAGAATGGGGGTTCTTGTAATAGACGGAACTCACTTCATTGTGACTGACTGTTCAAAAGGCTTTAGCTGGGTTCATCTGCTCATGATACCTAGGCACTTTGAAGCGGACGATCTATCTAGAAGTGAGCACTGCAGTGCAGTTTTTCAATCCATGGACATTTCTGGAGACGGAAAATGAGTTCAATAGCTTTCTGATGCAGTGCCCCAATGCTGTTCGTGGGTAAAAGCTCTGCCAAGATGTTCAAGTCCAGAATGCTGCGCACAAATTTTCGATGCCTGGAATCAGCTGATGTAGCGTACCAGAGGGGCAGTTCCTTAGAACCTGTAACAGATGTGATGTTGGATCATTCAGGAAGTCGAAACTCTTGACACCACTGGCTGGTCTGTACATCGGATGCCTATTGGTCGGATTCAATGCACCCAGCGTTGCCATCTAAGCCAATTGAGAATGCCTTCCCGGTCCGTTATAAAACATTCAAAGCGTGTTGTCAAAGATCAGTTAAAAAATAACAGTGCTCTTTGAGCTGTGGTAGCTCTGGCTGATCTTGAAAAAAATGTATTGAGGGACTCAGCACAAACTGATGTAACTATGCTTGTTCATCAATACTGATTAGTAATTCGGTTCGTAGTCCCGTTATTCATCCGTATCGGACGGAAGACATTACAGTTTAGATCGAAATCCGATCAGATCCGTGGTACATTATTTTCCTGGTGCATTCCGAAGGCTGAAGAACAATTTTAAAACTGGATAGATAGGATCAGCTGCCGTATTCCGGTCATTGATACGCTGGGTTTGTAAAGGAACCTAGCAGTCTGGCAAATAAAAAAGATCGTTATTATCTGTTTCGGTTTTCTTGAAGAATTAGGCAGTGAGGAAACCTCTAAAATGGAATATGTAGGCCGTTCTCATTTATCTCCCAGGATCCAAAACTGTTTACAATCCAGGCGCATAACACATTTTTTCGGATTCAATAACCCATGTTCTGGACTGAAAAGTTCGTCTGAGACCACCAAGACGGACCGTTTGAACGAAAATGTATTCTGCTTGTGGTTATGTTAGTGACCAAACGAAACACTCATTTTCGGAAGAAAAAAGGTTTTCTGTTGCCTACTAAGGCTTACTTGCATAGCATCCCAGACGAAATAAATCCATTTAGTCCTTATAAAACTCGACCTGGTGAATGCAGGAGTTGGATGGTGAAAAGGGCATTACCAATCTAATGATTCAGCCGTGATAACTTTTCGGTGAACGGCTGCCATGTAACCCTAAGGAATACAGGAGCATTCGAGGGCCGCGGGTGAATTAGAACGACGCAGCTTGTACACCATCTAAAATACCTCCTCGTGATGGATTCAGTTGTATGATAGACAAACTTTTCTATCCTTCTACCTACAACCATCTTTCCTATATGACCAAATTTTGCCCGGTTTTCTGGTCGCGTGAGCATCAATGCGTGGGCGGAGAGATGCTGATTTCTGACAAAACCACGTTACTTGAACTACGGATGCTGTGTAACCCTGCCTTCACGAGATGTTTGCCTGCGTTGTCGTCTGGTGATCTTAATTCGCGATCATGATCATCATCAGATTCCTCCAGCTCAATGGGCTAGTCAATAATGCGGAGTTAAACACAGATCCCCTGATACGCCTGTACTAGATTACCTTGTGTCTACCGTGCCCCACGAGTAAGAAATGATTCCGAAGCAAAAGTATTGATATTCCTACCAGTACATCTAATTCTGGGTGGATAAAACCAGTACAGACTACTGATGCCGAATCATCCCGTAGCTGAGTTGTACGAATAGCTTCCTGCTTGAATACTGGGCTGAGATCAAAGTTGTTGGGTCCTAGCAAAATGGATCTAGGAAGGATCTTTTTGTGACATCATCCGATTGAATAAATGAAATAATAACCTATAGACTCCAGCGTTCTCCATGCCTTCTTCAGAATGGTGCAACGTGCGAGTTGCATGTATGAAAGAGATTACAAGTGTTGGTGCGGTCCAATATTCAGGATGGATCCCTTTGACCGTGTTCGGCTGTTGCGATAAACGACATCTAGTCGGTGTGGTATTTGTGCCATCGTTTTCATTCCAGCTTATCTGAAGATGTAGACACACAAGAATGCTGCCGCTACGGTAGCAATTGACCCTTTCTCCAGCCAACCTTTTTTCACCTTGAGACTGAATATTATTAGATAAACCTTTTTGTACGGCAATCAAGCATCGGTTTCAACACTGGTGATGTCTATATCGACAATGATGGTTACTATTTTCAACGAAAGAAAATTATCCTACGCTTACACCCTAATTGGGATTATATTGTTGCAGGAATTGAGCAGATACTAACAGCCCTCATAGACCGCACTTGTCCGGCCACAAAACGGAACTAACCTATCCTATCGGTCTTTCCACCACCCTTTAATTGGGATCATACTGTTGCAGGAGTTGAGCAGATACTAACAGTCCTCTTTGACCGCACTTGTCCGGCCACAAAACGGAAGTAACCTATCCTATCGGTCTTTCCACCACCCAAAATGTTCACATGTTTCCCAACAATTGTAATGAAACGATACAGCAGGTTCTACCCATTCGCATGACCGGTAAGTTTTCAGGTAAGCGTCTCAACGAGTCATAGAATACAGATGATCAGGTCGCATACGCACAGATGAGCTGCACATTTGAATCTGACATCGAAAGAACCTTCAGTTTACTCCTAAAGATAGCAAGCTAAGCTTCAAGTTGAGCGAAACGAAAAAATGCGGGGTTTCCCAGGTATCACTTCATGTGTACAAAGAACGGCAGTGCCCTACAAAGAACTCTTCGTACAACAGTTGCTTAGCGAGAAGGAACGTTAAGGGTCACACCAACGCTTGTGTATGAATTTGCACGTCAGTCTATCCAGGATGGTCAAGGGAGCACAATGCTCTCAAGCCAAAGGTAATGCATTACGAAGTGTACTGGCCTCAATTGTGCAGATTTTTCGGTTCACTTTATATACGGCTGATGGATACCAAGGTAACGGATGAAGTCGAAAGGAATGAGCAGTGTGTGGAACATTCAGTCTGGTTGAATATGAATATAAACGTGATGGAATAACACAAAGGTAATAGCACCGAGATTCACTATTACCGCTGTTATGTGATCGTAATTGGGACACAACCAAGCAGTTCCCCTGGTCACAAAAACTCTCGGATGACCCATCATCCTCCTAATGACAGTTAAGCGCCAGTGTAGATTACTGGTGTATCCCTGCCGATGATGCTAACTGTGGTCTCCGAGTTTCCATCAGTCTTATCACCTACGTAGACGCCACGCGATATGTAAGCAAAGTCAAACTCATTTGCAAGCGTACGTTGGTGATAACGGGAGGCTTAAACAAATCCTTCGTTCATGATGTACTTCGACGGCATGTGCTTGCGTCACTATCATAAGCAACCAATTTGTGATTAAACTCATCGGTATCCCCTACGAAATTCTTATTTTTTTGTGTATTTTCTTTGTGTTGCTCTAGCAGCACTTTAATTCAAAATAACGGCACGATCCTCTTCGCCCATCGACCAACCAACACTTAATATATCTTTGCGGATAATCTCATTCCGAAAGGTACAAATCTTCAAACACACATGCCAGTCCTGTGGGAGCCCGTAAAGATATGAGAAAAAATGAATCACAACTGACATCATAAATCTAATTAAATCGGACCCGTGTTGGTCAAACGTCGACAATTGGAATAATATTCTAAAGGTAGAAAAAACGGACAGACACACGATCCAGTTCACATTTAGTGTAAGGTGTTTTGTACAGTGGGTTGAGGTGCACATGCACGGCTACACCGAGCTGCTTAATGATGGTGACAATTTAAAAAGCCAATTGGAGCTCTATTTTGAAATGAGGTGTCTCAAGTGATAATCCACGTAGTCTTTTGCCAGTTTGCTGATACGAGCGTCGCTCACTTTGGATACATCCTTCTGTTGAATCTGAAATGAAAGTCAAAGCACGAAGCGATCAGCAAGTGAACGTGCAGGTCGTTTGGAAGAATACTGTCAAAATAAAGTTAAAAAGTAATTTAGGGAGATTTTTAGAGAACAATGAATATCTAACAAACACACTCATTTGCAAATCAATTCGGTTTACACGGGAGACTCAACTAAATCTCTCGTTCATGATGTTCTTCGGCTGGATGTGGTGTATACAGGCCGCCCCACGTTTCAGTGGGTACGGTATCCAAGGTCTCGCAATATATTTTCACAAAGGAAACTACTCACAAGGTTTATGAAACTCTTCGATCGATTTCGCCCTTCTAGGGGCTCATCAGGTAGGCGCAATATCTCGAATATCGTACCAACTGAAACATGAGGCGGCCTTTTTAAGCACATTCAGTTGAAGAATAACATAAACGAGAGAATCTGTTGAGTCTCTCGTGTAAACTGAATTGGTTTGCAAATGAGTGTATTTGTCGAAATCAGTTCTGTTTGAGTTGAAGGAAATTCGAGGACTGCGCCTACCTGATGAGCCCCAAGAAGGGCGAACTCGGTCGTGGGCTGTCGAAGAGGTTGAGGCAACCTTAATGAAAAAATGAGTATTCTTTAGCGTTTTCCTGTAAATTGAGGGTGCGGTTTATTGCAGACCAGATACGAACAGACCTTGGCACAGTACCGGCTGCCAACTGAGTAACTGACTGGTTGAATTAAATGTGATCAGGGTTAACCGAGCTTGAATGTTCGAAGCCCTGGTCGTCATTTCAAGAAGTGCGAAAAATCAGTGAGAAAAATTTTAGCTTTGGTCAAATTGGTTACATCGAGTAAGTAGCCTGTGTAACAGCTAGGCAATTATCTCTCCTCCACCTGCTAAGGTAAATAGCAATTGGGAGAATGACCATGAAAAGTTTGTAACGAGATTGTCAGCTAGATAATCTGGGTTGCCAACATTTTCTTCTGTGTAAGGTTGAACGCAGGCAGCCGCATCGTGCAAGCACAACATTAAATGAATTGTAGTTGGCGATCTCTGAACGCGTGTACTGCACGCAAAACATAGCACAACGAATGGAGGAAGTAAAATATACTCACTTTAAAAAGTGCCCGTTCCATGATGGAACGGTAAGTACTTTCGTCTATGACACCTGTGTTCAATTGCGGCTTTAAACTGGCCTTCAAGACAGATCGCGCATTGCGCAGCAGTTCGTCTGACCATTGGTTTTGGAAGTGTGAGTGAGATGAAGTTCGCGACCCAGGCTGTTTCGAACTTTGTGAGTTCAGTTCCGATTTGAAGAGCTCTCGAGAAGGCGTTTCGTCACGACAAGGAGCTGAGCTGCTGGGAGCACTTGAAACAGATGGGCTTACGGATCCCGTGGTGCTTGGAGCTCGGAGCGGTAAATTGATTCGCATATTTGGAGAGTTGTAACTATTCAAAGTATGCTCAGGACGACTGGGAACGGGGATGGGCGACATCGAGTGATCAGGGTTAACATTCATGTGACGGGTTGTGAAGCTGAACAAAGATTTTTGACCTGCCTCGATTTCATCTAGCAAACTCACGCGGCTGGGACGGTATATGGGTGAAGGCATCGGTTTTGGCCTAAAACGGTAGAACAAATGATTAGGCGGGATCAACTAATGGACACATTTGTTGTTCACTGGGGAGATAGATTCCGAGGTCAGTTACACTTCAGAATCCCACCATAAACAAATCGTGGGAACTATTAAAAACTTCTTTGAACCGAACCACAATTAGAACACCAGCCTGCGTACCCTATAGAGGTATCAAGAGACCGTCATAGGTAACTATCATCACGACTCTGGATATAAGGTGGGTCGCAGGAATCATGAAGATCATCGTTCAGTTGTACAGTGCCTCTCGGGTTTTCAGCATCCTAACTTTCGCTTACAGACATGCAGTCTGAGGTTATGTGACTTGACCGTCCGTACTCAAATTGAAGTACAAGAGCTGGCTCACATATAAAAAATGAGACCTTACTTCTGAGTTGTTTCCGAAGTGGTGTCCGGGACAGAATCTTCTACGAAGAGACTGCAAAAGAAAGAAACAGAAGAATCAATGTAGAGTAAAAATCCTCCACATGAGACTGCAAAACTCCCCAAACCGGGTAACCTAAAACGTGCAAACTTTGTTCTGTGGTTTCGCTAACTGAATCTTACATATATTATTTCGATTAGGACGGCTCTTTTATATGTACGAAATACATATAATGTAAGAGGCATAATACATATAGCTATATCATATGAATATACTGCTCATATATCTCAGCTGCTCAAACAAACGAGGTCAGATGAGGCCAAAACACTGAAGTAGCATAGCTAAGTGGAAAATAAGTCTACACGTTTCCGTATTCCACGAACTCCCAGCTAATTCACTTTTTGACCCGTGCACCCTAGTTAGGATTAGCAACCCTATGAACGCACGTAAATGGACCAAATGGAGTCGACGTCAGTGCGATCCAAAAAGATCCCTTCGCCCGTAAGTTCGACGTATCCTTATGATCGACATCTGAAATGTCAATTTGATATCTCCAGTCCGTGATACTGTCAATTTCGCCGGACATGCGTTACGCTACTAGTACCTTTGGTCTCCATCCTCTGTTGAACACAAGTTACAGGTGGCCATTTCATGACCCGGTTTTCGGAAACGAGAATTTCTTTGCCCCAATCCCATTTAAGTGTCTCATCATAGAGGGTAATCAACTGTGACATTATTAAACTAATTTCACAAGAAAAAGATCCACAGGCCACAATTTCCTCCTTTCGCTCGGCTTCAAGGACTCCGAACAGGGCTCTTCTGATTAGAGTGCCAGTCGTTGTCACTTGTTGCATTGCTAGCGTAGACATTATCGTGATTGTCGATACAAACGCATGAATACGTGAACTGTTCGGCTCAGAACAGTCGGACTGAATTACTGGCAAGCTCAGTATTACACTCTCAAGTACTGTCGTTCCTATCCATGTACTCGTGTCCGATATTCAGTGTTGGATACAAATGGTGAAAGTTGAGGACGATCAGCTGATTACTGTTGCCGGTACAACTGATTCCTTCAGATTCGTGAAGGACACTGACCTACGTTAAAGTGGGATATGCTCTACTTTTATCAATCGTCGTAGTTAGCTAGCTAATGAAACCGGACCGAAAATACACTGCATGCCGGGTTTCATACGACTGTGTATAGCCTCAGATAAGGGCGAACTGTTTGCAAAGCTCACCAAGAGCACGATTTGCAATTGATCAAAAAATCGAACAGGCATGGTTTCGCACAACCCCCCACGCTAATATCTCTGGCCTAGCAAATGGATCTATCTGCCTATCTATCAGGATCAGAAGGTATTGGAAGTCCCTAAGAGACCCATGTCACATTATGCGATCACGTTGAGTTCTACTGTGAGGACTGCAGTTCTCATTCACCTGCATTAACGGCTAAGGTGGGTGGGTGTGTATATTACGTGTCTAGAAGGTAAGAGATTTGTTAACTGCACAAGTTGGTGAACACTATTCAAATATTACCAACTTCCATATGGGATAAACTGGTATTCGTGTAGTCACTCCACGAAAGTAGGGCAACCCAAACAAGGAAGAAAACTAATCAGAAACCTATGACGAAATGAACGGTAGCCTCTCCATTTAGGTAGTTCTCTGTAGATATGTAACAAGGGAGAAACCGTTGGAATCGTTGCTGAGAGGCGGCCAATCTCCGGAGAACATAACGTAGATTAAGCGTGCGGTTGTTCAAATAATGCTACCATCTGACAGCTTTTGGTTGTCCACACCAAGGAAATGATTCGAATCCAAATCATCATTCAGAGACTGACTCAACAGCGTCAATTACGGGAAAGCGGGTATTAGGGTTATTTTGGAGATATGATCTGAATCAACGACATTACGGCAGTGAGGCATCGGCGTTGAACACTGATGACATGCTGTCGATGATGATGATGATGCAACGACACAAAAGCCTGACCCACCTGACAACGGAAGATGTAGATGGGAAAAGGCTTATCCCTAATACTGTGTGTGCAACAAATGCCCTTTGGACAGATTTGCCTCTTTCCGTGATATGTAACGGCGTCAGTATACAAGTGTCACGCAAACTGCTGAATTAGTTGGTTTTCTGTGAATTAGGAATAAGAGGTGAGTTTGTCTTACCGTGTCCTAATTTGGCAAAACTTAGTGCTTTTGGTTCATTTTTCATAACCGAGAATATTTAGTGTATGATTCCGTTGTCCTCAGTAGTACAGAGCTCGTACGATTTTAGTATTCCACCTAGTTCCTTTGTTTCCGCTGCTACTCAGGTTCAGTGATGAGGGAATGCAAATATTGTTTTAATGTTTGCTTCCAGAGCACGTTGGTTGTGTTGAGCTAGATTCCGTCGATGGCTAGTAACTTTCCATACATACAACGTTGGTATGTTGTACGAAGCACCAGCAATCTACTCGGCACCAGAATAGCCTGACCGTTCACGCGTCAAGTAGCTTGGTTCAGGGTCCGTTATCCACAGTACGTTCGGCCTTGGTGAGAGCGGTACCTCTCATGTCATCTTCACGGAGAAAAACGTGCATTAGTTGCTTTATGGGCATAGTAGACAGTCTCAAGCACATTCTCTGTACTCAACGTTTGAGGGGTTGAATATAAAGCTACATCCTTTTCTCAGCTTTTATCTAGTTATCGCTCCTTGGCCCCAACTTGGCATCATCGAGGAGACGTCGTTTTCCGTATCATCGAGTTTTGAACTACTATCGCTGTAAACTCGACGAGTACAACCACATTTTGATGCAAACCGGCAGCACAAGCGAATTCATTTGTATCAGGCGGATGTGCAGCCCTCATTTGAGCTACTTCAAACTAGTAAACTAACAACGATAACTTTACTACACAACCTTACCTAACATGAAGAGAGTCAAGATGATTTGCCCTAGTAGTACTGAAGGAGCTGCACCGTTAGATACCATTAGACAGTATACGTGTTACCACTTTGGCGGACGATCGGCGCCGAACAATCCAGTGGCATCCTCTGATGGGTATGACGCGCTCCAGTCTCACATGACCATTCCACTCGTGATAATCATTAGTAATCAGCTCTGTGGTGAAATCGTCGGGGTGGTTCGCGCTAAAATGACTAGGTACATTTGGAAAAAGCCTAACCTGTGATCATTGGTGGTTTCAACTGTCTGTGATAGCCCTGGTTGCTGCTTAACAGTACTGAGACCGTCAGCTTAGGCTTTGAAAGCGAGCACTTTAGCTCTTCCAAGAAGGTATATACTTTTATAGGTCCCACAATAGCGTTGGAAGCGGACTCCCACCATCAGGTAGAGAGCACCGAAATCGTTCGTCATGGTAGCTGAGTACAAACATCATAACAAAGTAATCAACCGGTTGTTCCTTACAGTTGGACGCCAGATTTGTAGTTCACATGTTTGGATTTGTCAGACCTGTAGCAGGCGTTACCCATGATTGGTGCCAGAAAAGCCATACCAGCAGGCAACGAGTACGACGGCGCACGCAAACCCCTCAAACGCCAAA